GGGGGGTCGCGCAGGCAGAGGCGGAGCCATGGCTGAGGGTGCAGGGCCGGGCCCTGGCTCCGATCAGGCCCAAGAGGGGATTCTGCAGCCAGCCCAGCTCCCCTTGGGGCACGACGCACCTCGAGCAAAGCGCTGGCTGCAAGGCACAGGGCCGGGACTGGACCAGGGGCCTGGCAGGGTCTGGGCAGAGCCTGGTTACTCTGGGCAGGGGAGGCAGGGAGGCTCCCTCAGGGCCACCTGCTACCCGAATCAGCTCCACAGGCACAGGCCCAAGAGGGGATTCTGCAGCCAGCCCAGCTCCCCTTGGGGCACGACGCACCTCGAGCAAAGCGCTGGCTGCAAGGCACAGGGCCGGGACTGGACCAGGGGCCTGGCAGGGTCTGGGCAGAGCCTGGTTACTCTGGGCAGGGGAGGCAGGGAGGCTCCCTCAGGGCCACCTGCTACCCGAATCAGCTCCACAGGCAAGTCCCTCCTGACCCGGGCTGGAGGGTGGATGGGAAGGGAAAAGCAGCGAGTGATGGGGCCTTGAGGGAAGAGGCGGGGCCTGGGGGGAACCTGGGAGGGAAGGGGCGGAGCAGGGGAGTGTCTGGGTTTCAATATTTTCAAGTTGGCGCCGCTGGTTCCTGGACCAGGTGGGCAGCAGTGACCCGCTCGATCACCTCAGCCGGGCACTGCCCGGGAGCCAGGTGTCTGCAGCTCGCGTCAGCACCGCCCAGCCCAGCCCTGGCTCTCCCCCTGCTGGGACCCTGGCCCCACAGCCAGGGCTGAGCCAAGCAGGGTCTCGTGCCTGGAGGAGGAGCGGCTGCAGGGAAGGGCCAGCAGAGGCGGGCATGGTGGGAACACGCTGCCAGGCACTCACCCACACAGTTCTTCCCATCCAGGCTCAGGTCGTACCCCTCCTGGCACAGGCACTGGAAGGAGCCGATGCTGTTTATACACTGGCCGTTCCGGCACACCTGCCCCCCCAGGGACGAGCACTCGTCAATGTCTGCAGGGACAGGAGAGAGAAGCACAGTCGGACAAACCCACAGGGTGACTGTGAGACACCAGGCGCTCACCCTTCCCACAGCTGTGACTGTGAAACAGCCGGCGCTCACCTCCTACGGCTGTGACTGTGAGACACCCAGCGCTCACCCCCTACAGATGTGACTGTGAAACAGCCGGTGCTCACCCCCTACAGCTGTGACTGTGAGACACCCAGCTCTCACATGCTACAGCTGTGAATGTAAGACACCCGGCCCTCACCCCCCACAGTTGTGACTGTGAGACACCGGCGCTCACCCTTCCCACAGCTGTACCTACGACACCCAATCTACACAGCTGTGATTATGTGTGACACCCAACACTCATACTCACACAACCATCACAATGTGCCACCTGACCCTTACACCCTCACAGCAATGACTATGTGACCTTTGACCCTCATGCCCATTCAGCTGTGGCTGTATTTCCAGCCAACCTACACATCCGTACAGCCATGACCCTGACTGACCCTCACAACCTCACAGTCATAACTGCGAACGACTGCTAACCCACCCCCCAAACAGCAGTGGCTGTGACACCCATCTCACAGCGGTGATTGTGCGGAGTCTCTCACCCATGCAGTCATTATTGTGCGTCAGCTCAAAGCCTGGGAAGCAGAGGCAGTTGTAGGAGCCGACTGTATTCTTGCAGGTGCCGTTCCCACAGGGCTGCCGGTCGCATTCGTCTATATCTGCGAAGGGAAGAGGGGTTCAGACCAGCGGCTGGCCAGGGGATGGCACCTGGTGCCATGAGGGGACAAGGAGATGCTCTGTCTGGGATGTGCCATGGCCCGTCCTCCCCCTGCAAACCCACCCAGGGGCCCAAAGAGCTCTCCTTCCCTTTGGAAAGGGCTTAAGTCCACGGCATGCACTGACCCATGCACATGGTCTGCTCTCCTGTGGCCTTGAACCCGTTGTGGCAGATGCAGATGTAGCTGCCCACGGTGTCCACACAGTCCCCGTGGCTGCAGACGTTGGGGATTTCCTGGCATTCATTGCGACCTACAAGAAGAACCCAGAAAGCCGTGAAGAGGAGACACCAGCCAAGGTGGGGACAGATACCCTCTCCACCTCAAACCTTCTGGGAGTCTGAGCCTCTGTTCTGTTTCCATGCGGCCTGCAGCCATTTCACTCTGTGGCTGTTCTTTTTCTTTTCTCTTCAGCTAGCGTCCTCCTTTTTGTGCTAGTCCCCTTTTTTAAGGTAAGTGGTACTGGGGCGGGAGGCTTCTTTGGGAGGTTCCCTCCTTAAGGAGGTTACATTTAAGTGCATTATGGTCCCTGTTCTTGAGAGGTCCTGCTACAGTCACTCCTTGGACTAGATTTTGTGCTCCATGTAGGGCTAAGTCAAGACCTGCCTCTCCCCTGTGGGCCCAGGACCTGCCGCCCCAAGAAAGAGCCACTGACAGTGTTTAGAAACGTTGTCTCTGCGGCCCGTCCTGAGGCGAGAGGTAACCAGTCAACATGGGGACGGAGCACACCCCGACACAATCGCTCAATTCACCCCAAGGTGCCCGCTTCTCCCACCTTCCCCAAAGGTGCCGGGCAGGGGAGCTCGGGAGCAATCTGACTTCGAAATCAGCTCTTTCTCCGCGGGGCTATGTGGGGGAACCCCTTGTCCAAATGGCCCCCCAGGAACCTCTTGTGGTAAAGCCATGTGGGGGGAGGGGCGGCTGGCACCAGTTTAGTTCATGTTGCAAAAGGGCTTCAATTTTAAAAGGCAAAAGAGGGCCTATTAAAATTCTGTCTGCCGCGCCAGAGTCTCACTGAAACGGCCGTGATAGCCGGTGGACGGCTTGGGTTCTCTACAGCAGTTTGTGGTAGGAGAGGGAGACACTATCATTTCAGGTTTGCTATGACTGGTCTAAATGAGAGCCATGTAATTAAATGTGACTGCAAAGGGCTGGGCCAGGCCCCGATGCCCCTGCTGGAGGCTTGTGGACTTGTCACACCCTGTACCAAAAAAGGAACCATAGAGAAGTCTTCCAAGGAAGCTAGAGTGGCTGCAGGGAAACCAGCCAATCCGGGGCCAGGAAGACCTATAAGAAGCTGCAGAACCAGCATCAGCTCAGTGCCTCTGGAACCCTGGGAAGGTGAAGTCAGCAGCACCATGGAGAGCTCCGCATGGGAGCTATTGTGGCCGGAGATCCAAGTCCTAAGGTAGGAGCGAGGAAGCTGTCTCAGGGTACGTCTACACTACAGCGCTAATTTGAACTAAATTAGTTCGAATTAGTTAATTCGAACTAAGATAATTCGAACTAACGCATCTAGAACTAAAAACTAGTTCGAATTAGCAAATTTGAACTAGCGTGTCCACATTAAGTGGACCCTGAACCGGGCTTAAGGCTGGCCGGAAGCAGTGCCGGCAGGGCATCAGAGGAGGACTTAGAGCGTGGAGATGCTGTCTCAGGCTAGCCGAGGGCTGCGCTTAAAAGGGTCCTGATCCCCACCCCGGACAGACAGTTCTCAGGGGTTCCCTGCTTGCAAAGTAGTCCTGGCTTGGAGTGCCCGGAGTACCCACACTGGGCACATCACAGCACTCGGCCATCAGCCCGGCTGCACTTGCCGCAGGCTGCCATCAGGAGAGAGGGGGCAATTGGGGGGCTGCAGGAGAGCTTCCACCCCCAGAAACCCGCAGAGCCAGCCCAGTCCTCCCCATCGGGGGCTTGTGCCCCATTCCTCCCTCACCTCCTTCCACTTACCCTTCCCTAGCCCCTCTTCTTGATGTACAAAATAAAGATAACGTGTCTTCCAAAATGGAATCTGTCTTTATTGAACAAAACTGGGGGAGACTAGGAAAAGGAGGTGGGAGAGGGGAAGAGAGAGGCTGGGAGAGGGGAGGGCAACTAAAATGATCAGGGGTTGGGAACAGGTCCCATATGAAGAGAGGCTAAAGAGACTGGGACTTTTCAGCTTAGAAAAGAGGAGATGGAGGGGGGACAGGATAGAGGTCTATAAAAGCAGAAGTGGGGTGGAGAGGGTGCATACAGAAAAGTTCTTCATTAGTTCCCATAAAGAAGGACTAGAGGACACCAAAGGAAAGGAATGGGTAGCAGGCTTCAAACTAGTAACAGAAAGTTGTTCTTCACAAAGCAAAGAGTCAACCTGTGGAACTCCTTGCTGCAGGAGGCTGTGAAGGCTAGAACTGGAACAGAGTTTAAAGGGAAGTGAGATCAAGTCATGGAGGTTGGGTCCATGGAGTCCTATTAGCCAGAGGGTAGGAGTGGTGTCCCTGCCCAA